CTCACCCGAGCGCAGCGTTCCGGTCTATATCTGTAGTGTACGCGACTGTCCACGCGCACGAGGCAGGGTTTCCTCTCCAGCTGCCAAGTCAATGATCAGCGATGCGCATAAGCCATGCAGCGCCCAAGACAACAATATGGACGATCACGCAATCTTGCGTGCGCTTTCGCTTTCGCTACATGTTTATAAGGCCAGCCGCCTGGCAAATCCTGCGTCAAGATGTACGATGCTGCAGGGCGTTGTTTCGGAGTACGATAGTCGGGAGCATCCACGGCTGTCTAGATAGCGGATCCGTACCCTGCAGGACAATAACCCCTACAACGTGGCAGACACTGTGGTTCTTGCCATTTCCCTGGCGATATTGAGTTAAATCCATTAGACGGGTAGAACTTCCGAGAGAGTCCCATATTTTGCACGCGACACGGCGTTTGTGTGGCCAGTCGAGATAAGCAAAATCGGAAGGATCAGATGCTGGGTGCTATGCATTGGCGAGGCTTGGAGGTGGTATTTCGCCCGCGTTATGGCGTAAGCTAAGCAAGCCAAGCCAGGCTTACCGGTGGTGGGATTGAGCTTAGCAATGGAGCTTAGTGGGCGCCACAGTGATGTCAAGCCTGGGAACCTGACTTTTAAGCCAGTACAACGGTGTGCCGATATGAAGAGGGTGTGACAGATACGCAGGAATGCGGCATCGCAACAGCGCCACCGGTCTGGCTATCTCGAGGATTTGACGATTGACGTAATGAGTCTTCGACAAACGACCTGGTGGATGGCCAGACCCTCCACGTGCGCGACAGTGAAATGGCAGATCTGTGCCGTTGAAGCGGTAGCGATGCGTCGGACGTCACGCTCGCCCGGTACTAGTCGACTAATGCGATTAAAGCACACGAAGCGGCACTCGCGGCGCCAGGGCAGAGGATTTCACTGAGATTTCATAGCGTGAGGGCGGGAAAAGACGACAGTGCAGCGGTCATAGCGCGGCGAACGGCTGGTGTTTGTGCGAGTCTTCATAGGCGCGCTCAAACTCGGTAGGCGCCACCAGGCAAAAGCAGTCCCCACTCTTGCGCCTTCCCTGTTCGCCTTCACCGAACTCTCCTCTGTCCCCGCAAGTTTTGGACTAGCCATCCCAGCACCCTAGCTTACGCTCCTCCACTGCTCAACTCCCTGCACCCGCTATCACCTTGCCCCCGCGCATATTTAACGATCTTCCTGCCGCCTCTCCATCGTTTACCCAACCCACTCCGACACTTCCCTGCCCGGATTTTGAACACGCAATTAATGCTCCAAGAAGCGGCTAACCGTCGTTCTTCCTACTACACTCCTTACAAGAGGTGTATCCGTTGCGTAAAATGGCGTTGAAGTCTCTCTTCGGCGGCAAGGCCTCGCCCGCCGACAACAACAGCCAAAGCAGCAATGAAAAAGTCGCCTTCGAGAAAGAGAAGGGTTACGACGCCGAAGCCCAAGGAGGAATTCTACCTACATCCACCGACGCCGACTCTGACGCTAGCATCACCATCGGCAGGCAGATCGAATTGGAAGCCAACAATGCCATCAAGTACCGTACTTGCAGCTGGCCCAAGACCGCGGCTCTGTTGTTCTCCGAGTACATTTGCCTGGCCATCATGTCTTTCCCCTGGTCCTACTCGATCCTCGGTCTCGTTCCAGGCTTGATCTTGACTTTCGTCATTGCCGGTCTCGTCCTGTACACGTCCCTGACCACCTGGTACGCGCACTCAACATCCCATCCGCAAACGCCATACTTACACGATCTAGGGAATTCTGCATGCGCCATCCCCAGATTCGCGACGTCTGTGACATTGGTCAGATGCTCTTCTGGAACAAGAAATGGGCCTTTTACGCTACAGCAGTCATGTTTGTCCTGAACAGTAAGCGACCATCCCTGTCAACATGCAGCAACCACTGCTAACTTTTCCCTAGATGTTTTCATCATGGGTCTGCACTGCCTTGTCGGAGCCAAATGGTGGAACACTATCACTGGACACGGTACCTGCACTATCGCCTTCGCTGCGATCACTGCCATTATCTCGTTCGCGGCTTCGCTTCCGCGAACTTTCAGCACCCTCGCTACGCTGGCCACTGCGTCCGCAGGATTCACTTTCATCTCCGTCATCCTCGCGGCAGCATTCTCCGGTGTTGACGGAAAGCCCGCAGGCTATGACCCCGCTGATCCTCTCAAGGTCTACGCTATACCCCCATCTGGAACCACTTTCGTTATGGGCATGAGTGCTTTCATGAACATTAGCTATACCTTCATTGGCCAGATCACCCTCCCCAGTTTCATCGCCGAGATGAAGGAACCCAAGGACTTCCCCAAGGCGCTCTGGGCCGTCACCATCTGCGAGGTTCTTGTCTTCAGTCTCGTCGGAGGTGTTGTGTACGGTTACACCGGTACCAACTACATGACTTCTCCAGCCTTCGGCTCCATCTCCAACGAGGTCTACAAGAAGGTATCTTTTACCTTTATGGTGCCTACAATCATCTTCCTCGGTGTTTTGTATGCCTCCGTAACAGCTCGCTTTGTTCTGTTCCGCATCTACGGTTCTCAGTCCCGACACAGGACTGGTCACACCATGGCCGGATGGCTCACATGGATCGCAATCCTCGCTGTGCTCTGGGTCTTCGCCTTCATCATCGCCGAGGTCATTCCATTCTTCTCCGACCTGCTCTCCCTTATGAGCTCGCTGTTCGACTCGTTCTTCGGATTCATCTTCTGGGGCGTAGCATACTTCCGTCTTCGCAGAGAGGCGCATGGACCAAACTTCTGGAAGGTCCGCGGTTGGAAGGGATATGCCGGGTTCTTCTTCAATGTCGCACTTTGCCTCATCGGCCTGTTGTTCCTGACTGCGGGCACATACGCGACTGTCCAGTCTATTATTGACGGCTACAAGGCCGATGGTTTTGGTGGACCTTTCACGTGCGCCGACAACGGTTTGTAGACGTTGAGGCCATCGGAGGTTGTTGGTCACTACGCCACCGCGTAGGGTTTAGAAGGATGTTAGCTGTAATGGATAACAGCGAGTTTGCTGGGCCTGTTGGACCCGGTCGGAAATGCACGGTTGATTAGGGCGTTCTTTGAATTTCTCATCATTAAGAGACATGGTATACCCCGCAGTAAAGGCTGCAGAACACGAACGCATCATGATAGAGATCAGAGCTGTGTCATCAATGAAAGTTGAAACAACACAATTGTGCATGAACACATTGCCGTTAGCCGATAATGGGTGAGGCGCTCTTTCCGCGATTGCTGAACATGCGGATTAGCGAGACGTCATAGCTCCACATGTTCATCTGCCGGGCAAGCTGTCAACACCTAGGCATCCCCCCACAGCTTTCGCATGTAGGAACTCACCCTCTACCTACATTTGCTACTATCGCAATTTGATGCTTTGTAGCTTACCGGAACTTTCTCACGACAATGACTTCGTATATTGACTTCAGTAAGCCCAGCTTGTGGGGTAAGTGCCAACATCCAGATCCCCGCAGCCGCAGATGCGACAGCTAACATGTGGCAGTGTCTGCCGCGAGCATCGTGTTCAACCCTACGTTTTGGAAGTAAGTGAAATCACTCATCCTCATTCACATATACTAACGGAGCTTTAGCATCGCTGCGCAACAAGGTACATAACCTCATCATTTCTTTTTGCGGGTATAGCCGAGCCTCGGGAGACTGCTGGGTGTCGTAGAGCAAGACGGAAACAAAGAAGGCTAACAGTATTCAGAATACCACAACAAAGTTATCACAAAGCTTTTCGGTGGCAACCCGCGACTTGGATGCTATGCGCTCGCCGTAACCATCTTCTCGCTGGGTATCTTCCGAGACTACCTGTACGTACAAAGCTACCACCGTCTCCAGCCCTGGACCTTTGCCCGAGCGAGCCGATATACTGACTGCTTGTTCACAGTTACAATGAAGCTCTCGCCGACCAACCCACGCACCCAACCCTCCTAGCCCCCGCCATCAAGTACTCCGCGATCCCCCTCTTCGCCATGGGAAACACTCTCGTCCTGACCTCCATGTGGGCCCTCGGTGTCACCGGAACCTACCTCGGGGACTACTTCGGCATCCTCATGGACGAGCCCGTGACAACCTTCCCCTTCAACGTCTCCAGCTCGCCCATGTACCACGGCTCGGCCATGTCCTTCTTGGCCACAGCTATCTGGTACGGAAAGCCAGCCGGTATCTTCCTTACCGCAATCGTCCACACTGCGTACTCGATTGCGTGCAGGTGGGAGGACCCATTCACGGGTATGATCTACCAGAAGCGCGAGGAAGAGAGGGCCAAGGGAAAGAAGGGCTTGTAGATGATGAGTGTCTACAGTGGCCGACCCGATACAACAGGATGGTGTACGACGAATGTGCTCTCCGCATGGCTTCGTCGAAACACATGAGAGCGCACTCTGTCTCCATCTGTACACGCGTGAATAGCAGAGGAGAAGAAGGTGAGGCAGCTCGTCTTTTCAACAAGACAGTGGAGCAGAGGGTATTCAACTGCCAATGGGTGGAGAGATATACGTAGCAGCATACAAAAGTACAGTTGATTTGACATGACATGATAGCCCAAAGCGACAACACCCCAAGCGACCTTTACTTTCAGCTCCTACTGGTAGGTACAGTATCTCGTGCAATCAGCTCGCGTCTCGATTCTTATTTCCGGTTTAATTGGTTGTCTATTCATTCGATTCGTCTCATTTGCAATTCGATCCACACAGGCTGTCGCCTCAAGCACGTGGCGGCACGGCTCTCCCTTGCAGTTCGGGTAATACGACATATAGTGAACAGCCAGTTCATCACCACAGCAATCGATATCTAGATCAATGAATTAAATTCTCAATTGCCTGAGTGTGCACTCTAATGTGTGCAAAGTAGCCAACCTGGTATACAACACCTCTGATAACCACCTCTTTCCATATGTGTCTAAGACACGCAACCCACCAAACGCCATGCTTCCCAATCCATTACGTGGTATTAAACTAAAGAAAGATCAAACCTCCTGCGCGGTCCCAACTCTCGAGTGCATTGAACTCGGCGGGTTCCCAGCATGCGGCGCGCCATTACGATTCAGCACACCCAACTCACTCTCGTCCACACTATGCCCGTTCGCAGTACCCTGAGCATCCGCACGTCTCCTGAGCGCAGTCTCACTGCCTCCATTCCTGCTCCAGCCCTCTGTACCAACATAGCTGCCCCTGCCGACACCAATGCCCCACGCGCGATCGTAGCTCCTAGGGCCCCAGGCCCATCCCGCACCCCGTGTAATGGGCAGATGATACCAGCGGAACGAAAACCAAGCACACGTCACGCCAATCAGCGTACCAAACAACATATCAAACCCGAAATGGCGGAAATCGGTAAAGCGGGTGCTTGTTATGTAGATGGCGGCGCAAATAGGGACCAAGATGAGGACTAAAGTGTAAACGGGTGGAGCGGCGTTTTGGTAGCGGATAGGGACTACGGCGTCGTCGTTGTAGGAGGTTGGGAAGGAGAGGGACGAGTCTTGTTTGTGGATGGGGAGGGTGGCTTGTTTCTTGAGGTTGGAGGGGGAGATGGCGGAGGTGTGGGCGGGGTTTGTGGAGAAGGGGCGGTGGGGGAGGAAGGGGATTGCGACGGAGAATTTGGAGGCGAGGAAGAGGGTTAGGTAGAGGAGGCCGGCCCAGGAAACTAAAAGAACTGGGTTAGCGGGTTGTTTGCGGAGGATGGGAGAGAGAGAGGGCTTACAGCTGGAATGGCCGCTGGGGAAGGACTTGAAGCCGTCTTTGAGAATGTCGTTGTCGGTGTTTCTGCAGATGGCCGAGGTGACGAGTACCCAAGCTGGATTGAAGACCTCTTCAACAACAGGATTGACAGCGTATTTCCGAATGTTTTCGAGGTCTGGGTCACATCTTGACAGAAGATCAGGTCGCGGCTTTCCGAAGAGGTTCTTCATGCCCTGTGTGATGAGGAACGCAGTCGCGAGCGAAAGCGCAAGACCCATCCAACCGGTGTTCCATTCCCAAAGCTTCCTCCTCCAGATGAGCGACTTGGGTGTTCCGCGTTCGGCAGTTGGTCCAGGGACCCAGACAAGACAGACGATCATGACGATGGCGGCGGGCGCAATGAGTGAGACTACGACCAGGAGCCATGTCGGTATCATTTCGCTGGTCTGGTACGGGTACGATATCGAGAGGTCGACGGGCGAGAAGGGTCGTCGGAAGGGCTCGACATATTCCCAGCCGCCGGCGATGGCTGCAATGGCGATGATGACGATCCAGTCGAAGACGTAGGAGAGGACGAGGCGAACCGACGGCACGCCGACGCCTTTGATGGTCCTCATGTTTGCGAGAGTGGGTGTCTAATGAGGACAGACGGAGAAGAGAAGAATGCAAGTCAAGTCCAGACAATAGATCAAAGGGACAAGCGCATTAAGGCGGCTAGAGGAGGCCAAGACAAAGGCGACAGTCTAGCGTTGGGTGACGCTGTGCGACGGTATTACAAAGATACGGTATACGGTATGCTGCGGTCGGTGTTGACGTGTATGGCGCCTACCAAATGGAAGAAGAAAGAACAACTAGGACGTGTAAAGATTACGAGGCAGGCACGGCAGCGGAGGGCAAAAGGGTGAAGGGGCACGCGAGCATGGCCAAGGCCCAGGCTGACGGTTTGAGGCTGTGTGTGATGGGCGCTGGGCGTTGGTCTTGATCGTCCGGATGTCTCAGCTGGCGCCCAGAGCGCCCCATACAGTGACATTTCCTTATTGCGCCGGCCTGACTTCGGTGTCCGAGGCTTGCACCAGCTGTTCATCCGCTGACATGTTCACATAAACATTAAAGATGTGCGGAGGTGGTAATTAGATAGAGTTTGGCATGTATTACGCAGATGCACAATGATGAAAGTCAAGATGTTAGTCGATCTGGGGGCCGGGATGGCAGCTAGCCGCGCGATGGGGAGCGCCACAGGGAAGTCTCCGCATCTCCGCCCACCACGTCATTTTTAGATTTGCAGCCAGAATTGCGCGTACTCGAATGCGCAGCCCTCGCGATCGCCCAACACGCCCAGAATACCGAGCATTCCGACACAGACGCCCGGCACTTCCGACCAGCCTCACGCGCAGCCCACCATGGCGCTTCCAGCACCAACCATCGATCTCCTCCTCAACCTCATCGACACGCGCCCGCAGTCCATCCTCTCCTCGCTCGAGCAGCACCCACACCTGGCCTCTGCCCGCGATGCACACGGCTACTCGCTAGTCCACGCCGCAGCTTCCTATAACCAACTCGCCGTGCTGCGCGACCTGGTCCAAAAATACAATGCCGACGTCAACATCACCGACGAAGACGGCGAGACACCCCTCTTCGCGACCGAAAAGACCGAAGTAGCGAAGTGCCTTGTTGAAGAACTGGGCGCAGACACAAAGATACAAAATCAAGAGGGCCAGACAGCAGAGGACAAGATTGGCGAAGAGGAGGGCGAGACACACGAAGTGTACCAGTACCTCAGGAGTCTACGCACCGGCGACGAGCCAGCTGCACCAGGTGTCATAGAGACTGAGGGCGTTCACCCGCCGCCCCCACTACCCGATGGTGTCAAGGTCAATGTCGGCACCATGGAAGAAGATGCTGTCGATGCGCCGGATCCTGAGATACGGAGGCGCATTGAGGAGCTCGCGGCGCGGGAAGATTACGATTCTGAAGAGGTGCAGGCGCAGTTGAGGGAACTGGTCCAGGATGTTGTTGGGGGTATGGGTGCTGATGGCGACAGGAGTGTTAGGCGGAGGGTGGATTGAAGAGACAGGAGATGATGTGCAGTGGGTGCACATGTGGTTGACTCGTCACCCGCGCAACACCACACATAACATCGTCGAACACGAGAGATAGGTCACCCCGCGCCGATTCTCGCCAGACTTGCCCTGGAAAACAGTTCGGCACCCACGCTGTGTGTACGTGCTAGCAGAACGGTATGCTTGAAGTTGCCTTGCTCTTTCAGGGCCTGGCATAACCCAACGGTGGTATACTTCCAACATATGCAGAGGGCAATTGAACACCCAGACTGCCTCCCATAGATGATCTACAAAATGTACATCTCATGGTCCCCACATTGCACTGTCCCAATCTGCATCTTCTCTTCTTTCCCTCCGTCACTTGATCACTATTCAAAACCTCGATCCTCAAATCTCGATTGCAAGAATATCCACTTACCCAATGCAGCAACTTCCATTCCACCGTTGATTGCGGCAGAATCAGGATTTTGTAAGCCTACTCGGAGTATGTCTCTTTTCATACAGCGGTTCGGTCAAATGCACCGACCTTGGTACACCCATCCGGTCCGTCTGCGTTAGGCAACCTCGCTCTTATGCGTGGATTCCAGCCGGCGACATCGGCGATCTCTGGATTAAGGACAATGGGTGCGATCTGAAGCATCTGTGAGAGATCGGAGGAAGGCACTGCTTACACATACTCGCGTAATCCGACGTGCGAGCGTGAAAGGGCCGTTCACGACGGTAATAGTCTTATCCACACGCAAAACCACACCATCGGGTACAAGCATAACCCATCCGCAACACCAAGCGCACCGAGACCAACGTCATACCGGCCCCATCTGTTACTCCAAGAGGCAACAAATCGCAAAAACCATGGATTCCAGTCGCTCTTCTTCGGACTTATTATTCTCACCAAGACGCACTGATGCCCCTTGACCATTTGCCATTTCCGCTTTATTCCCACAAAAACCCGCGTCTGTGCCGCCTTTTGTTTGGACCGGGGAACACGGCCATGCTCGGCAAGGCATCGGCATTCCCATAATTTTTTGCGCAAAGTGGGGCGTCTACTCTTACCCGAACACCCTACCCTATCCTCCTCTCGGATCGCTCCCTTGGTTTCAACGTTGGCTTGGCGTCTTCGCCACAATCGTTCCCTTTGTTGCCACTTCACCTCCACGGTCTCCACCTGCCACCCTTTTCGGTCAAATCTGCTATAAGGCTGCCTGCATGGGGAAGGAAAGGCCAAAAAGTGTCGATTCTAGTCGGTCAATTGCGGTGCTTCTCGGGGGCATTAAGTGAATCCTTCGGTGAGTTAAGGTGATGGGTGGATGGAGAGAGGGGTTTGGGGGGCGAATGGGCGTGAGACGTGTGGGTTTGTGTGAAGAGATTTGTCGAGGATGGGAGAGGGAACGGTAAAGTATCTGCTTTCTTTTCTTCTTTCTTTGGGTGGGATTGGGATGTTGGTTCATCGGTAATGTCTGCATATGCGTATGCGGCTTGACCCTTCTCTTCCCGTTCAGAACTGCTCTTTCCGCCTTCCTGTACCGTGTCTCTGCACCGAAGACCTGCGACTCCCGGTTCAAACGGCTATCCTAGCGGGCCCTCTCTGATATGCACTATGCATTACCCTGTTCGGTGTGTCTCGCGTACATCTCTGTGTCAGAGCCCCGTTTCCTCCATGCCAAACTCGGTTCGCCATATCATTCATCATCATCAGTACCGAATTCTCAGATTCCCATCGCGAATACCCCCAAAGAGGTAACTTATGATTACTCCACCGTAGAACACAGTCGCACTTCGCACTTTTTGTCGCAGTCCTTCGCACTTCTTCGCACTTTTTGTCGCACTCCTTCGCACTTCTTCCGAGGCTCGCACTTTCTCCCTAATCTAGCACTACCCCTGCCTCCGCGGAAGCAAACCTCATACGATACTTGGTTGCTCTGTTGGGACGTCTCGCTCCTCCTATGTTCTAGATCTTTTTTGCTACCGGGTTGGGAAGGAGAAGAAGAGTGTTGATTGCAGCCAAGACTGCGGGCCGTGACGGGTATGCAAGGGGATGGTTCTGCATTAGGGGGGTTGTTGGTACAAAAGGTTAGTGTGATAAAGCACGAGAATGTACGTGTTAGCTCAAGATGAGGGCACCCCGTTCGCAGGAAAAGCGAACATTCACTTTCGAACCTAGACGTCTGCATAACCTCCAGATTTTTCAAAGTTAGGTTCTCATTCCAATGTAGACTTCCGAGCACCTGTTTGTTCTGTTTCCCAGTATAAGGTGCACTTTTATCCTGGTCTAATAACTCCTCACCTCCACGGAAGCAATACCTCGTTCGATGTGTAATCGTCCTATCGGAACACCCTGTCATCATCGCTGAATTTCTCCTCCGGAACCTCCATATCCTCAGTCTCCAGCGTGAAGACTACCACTTCATACTTTGCCGGGCGTGCCTGGCTGTCCTCAGCTACCAGCGCCTTACAACGCTGTTTGCGGTTACTGAGCCCAAAACGCTGGTTAATCTCTTCCAGGAAGCCCTCCAAGCTATAGCTACGAAACGATTCGATCTCAATCGCTGGAAGCGCGCCCAAAGGTCGACCTTCAGTCCACCGCACGTACGCAAGCCCTAGTGTCGGTTCGCACTCTCCAGCATCCGAGTCGTCTGATGAAGGCGCCGGATTACGTGCAGTGGTCGCATTTGGGTTCGTCTTTGGTGATCTCGCAGATTTCGATCTCGTGAGTGCTGTTGCGCGCTCCCATTTCGCAAACAGGATGTAGTGGTAAGCTGTCCGGAATACGGTTTCCACGTCTTCTCTTCCCCAATAGTAGAAACACCCCTCGCGGTCGCCAGTGTTCTCCACGACAAGTCTGTATAACAACCACGAATACCAGTCCGTCTCGTTGTCGTACCTCGGAAAATGCGTCTGCCCAAGGGATCCTATGCGGCCGCGCCACTCATCGTCCCGGATGCGTGCATAGAGATCGTCGAAGGTGGGAACGCTATTACCAGGCTTGTAGAGATCTGTCTTCAGAAACTTGCTGACGAAGACTTCCCACCACGGTTTGACGAGCGATGAGTCTCGCCACTTGTCAAAAGCGGCGTCAGTGTAGGAGTATCCGAGAGAGGCGACGATCTTGCCTCTGTCTTCATACGGCTTGCGCGCGGAGCGCTTTCGTTGTTTTGGGGCACTGGTGGAGGGGCTTCGCGCCATTGTAGCTAGTCGTGGCTATGAGTTTATCAGGAGGATAGACTATAGCTACTGTCTGAGTTGGGCGCGGCGCCTTGTAACGTGTGAGTATAAAATCACCTAGGTCCCTGCCGAAGTGAACAGATACCAGCGCACTCACCTTCATCCATCCACGTTAACCTAGGAAAACACTGAATACCCTAGAGGCTACATTGACGTTAGCTTACCTACTTTGAAGGGTTTCATATCAATGTAGTCTGCAAACCTGTTTAGTTCTGTGCTTGTATGAGGTGTGTTCAAGGGCTACAAAAGCGTCAAGTGAACTACCTGAACTAGGTGATGTTCAGCATACTAATGGACTTTGAATCCAAGGGGTTCTACATTGTACGTTCGGGGAGCGCTCGTGGTGAAATCCGATACCCACTGATATTGGTGACTTCGACGGTACTTCTACCATTCCAAACTTTAAAGACGTTTTTATTCTCAAACAGCTTACTATCAACTTATCAAATGCGAGGTATCGCGTGCGCACATGAGACGCAGTTACCTTCGTGCGCAGTGGACCCAGTTCTGTCTAGCGCTAGCGCAGCCGCGGGTGGCGATCTCTTTAGTCAGCCACTTGAGCAGCAGCCCTACGAGTCTTGCGAATTCACGCCAATCTTCAATCACCATACCACCTTCCGCCCCACGCATCGCGGCTACCTATACGAATCCCACACGACTACACGAGACTATCCTCGAGATCCGCTGTGATTTCACACCGTACACGCGACGACCGTCCTCGTAACCGCATTACCCTCTGCGCCAGACCACCGTCGACACCGCCACAACCACAACCACAACCACAACCACAACCATGGGCAAGGCTGAAGCGGGCAGTACGAAATGGGTGGCCAACAAGATGAAGTCAAAGGGCTTGCAGCGCTTGCGCTGGTGGTGTGAGCCGTGCCAGAAGCAATGTCGCGACGCCAACGGCTTCAAATGCCACGTCCAGAGCGAGGGCCATGTCCGAAACTTGCAAGTCGTTGGCGAGGACCCCAAGAAGTACATTCAAGGCTTCAGCAACGAGTTCCAAAGGGATTTTGTCAATCTTCTGCGGACAGCACACAACGAGAAGTGGATCGGCGTCAACAAGTTCTACAACGAGTATATTCGAGACAAGGAACACGTCCACATGAACGCTACCAAGTGGAGTTCGCTTACCGAGTTCGCCAAACACCTAGGACGCGAGGGTATTTGTCATGTCAAGGAGGACGAAAAGGACGGCTTGATGATCGCTTGGAGAGATACCTCCGTTGCAGCCTTAAACAGGCGCAATGAGATCGCAGAGATGGAGGCTGCTGAGGCACGAAGCGGTGCGGGCGAAGACAAGATGTTGAAGAAGATGGCGAAGCGTGCACAAGAAGAAGCCGAGGCCAAGAAGGCTATCGAGGCGAAACGAGCTGCGGCACAAGCAGCAGTGCAACAGCAGGTTACTCCACCGGCAGAAGGAGCGTCCCCAACGGAGGAGAAGAAGGTCGAAACACCGGTCGACGAACAAACACAGGGAGAGGAGAAGAAAGATGTCACGGAGGTGAAGGCGGAAGCAGCGCCTGTCAAGCTCAATTTCGGGTTGAAAGCAAAGGCTGCACCAGCGAACAAGGCCGGACTTGGTCAGATGAAGAGCCAGAGCATCTTCAAGCGGAAGAAGGACGACGCGACAGCGGAACAAAAGCCCGTGAAGAAAGTCAAGTTATGAGCGAGGGTAGGACGTGATTGATTTTTGACATGCATAGCGCGGCGTTTGGGTCAACATATTATGGCAATGCAATAGGATTCGATGTGCCGAGAGGGCATTCACAACATATCAACTTTTGCTGCTGCTGCTGCTGCCATCACCGGCACTTCGCCTATGTCCCGGGAACACTACCGCGCCATTTCGTGCTCCTCTGTCTAGGGGGTGCACGCGCCATACCATCTCAAACTTAGCGCCATTTCGGCGCGTCTACATCATCGAGACGCGTCTCTCTCCAGTATATACCCGCCTCGCCTCTTTTTCCTCCTAACCCAACATCTCAGTCTGCAACTTTGTCGCACATACCTCGCAACCTCGTCTCTTACCGCGAACATGTCGCTCGTTACTTTATCGTCCCTCCCCGACCCAGTCCTCCATCTAATATCCGTATACCTTGCGCCCGATCGGCCTAGTGTCAATGACGTTGAAGAAGGCCAACAGCCAACACTCTACCGCCATATCATCAACCTCTCATTGACGGCGCACTCACTCAATCGCATTTCCTCCGTACACATTGCGAAGAACATCAGCTTGAAAATCGCCAATACGCGTTGGGATCTGTTCCTACGCACCGTAACCTCGAATCCCACCTACGCGTCGACCGTCAAATACCTGAAGATGAGCGAAGGCACGATCGACGACAACTACGGCAAGCGTATGGAGGCCATGCTCACAGCGCTGAGCGGATTGGAGGCACTATACGTGCATCACAGCAAACGAAGCCACGCCAACGCCATCCAGCAGCTTCTCACCTCAAAGCCACTACCGCTATGGGATTCATTGCAGGTACTGCGCTTCAACCACACCAACAGCTGGGGCGAACCGGCCATTGTGCAACTCGATTTCGAACGCAAAGAGATAGACAAGAAAGGCGGATTAGGCTACACAGCTGGCATAGAGCTGCTCACTGGAGAGCTAGAGGACTTGAGCTGTCATAGGTTTCTGGATATACCAGTCATCAGTAAGGTCAAGGTTTCCACACGCGACTTTGAGAACGATGGCGATGACCAGGACGACGCGGATTGGGTGGATGAAGATGAGGAGGAAGAGGCGGATGATGATAGTGATGGCTGGAGTGAGCGCGATTATGAGGATAACAGTGAGGAGAGTGACTGGGATTCAGAGGATGAGAGCGATTATGAAGACGATTGGGAGGCGGAGTATGGGTTTGCTGTACCAAAGGGTGAGCCGGCTAAGGATTTGGCGGTGCCGAACACTGCGGTCGTTGTTCCTGGGAGGAGTCTTTTAGACTTTTGAGGGTGGTTTTGACGTGGAGATGCTTAATTGTCAGATGAAAGAGGCTAGGACTCGATTTCTTGTTGTGTATTATACTGTGTTACTTTACTGGTTTGTCAGATCTACCCATGTATTAAGTCTACCTATCTACCACGGATAGGTCATCTAATGGTGAAACTCATGTCTGGAGCATCGCATTGAAACGTCAAACCAGCTGGCGGACTTGATTGCAGGTATATGAGCAAGCTGCCAAGTTCAGCTTCTAGTATCAGTAAATACAGAGGTTCACATCATTGATGTATTGCACTGTATTGCATTTTTCATCGGATACCATCGTAAGCTACACATACACATGTAGCCACGAGAAGACCTTCATCTTCGTCTTCACCGTCTGAAGGCTCGTCGTCTTTTCCCTAGATTTCCAAGTTTGATTGAGCTAATAAGAAAGGAAGACTCTTCAGCACTGAGACAGCGTCTTCATGGGTGTTGAACGACTTGGCAATGAGCAGCGATATGTGGCGTACCCATGCACTTGGCCGTCCTGTGCGCTTGGATCGGGCAAGCGTCTGTTGGCGGAAGCTATGTCAAACTTATTCGTACCCTTTGTGGAAGCAACGGTACTCGCACCTCTTCTTCGGTGGTCAACATGAAAACAATCTTTTTCCCAGTTTCGTGCGCGCACCATTGAGCGCCGATGTACGTCAAGCCCTCGCTGGCATCCAACTCCACCACAACTTGCCGGTGGCTACGCAGATCAAAGGCGGCTATGACTCGGTTCTGGAACTCAGCTTCAGTGTAGCCACCAAATCCGCGGACGGTTGCTTGAACGGATGCGGTTTCATCTTCTTCCAAAGCTTCCGGCCTGCCTTCGACCCAGAAGATGCTGGCAACACCTTAGTCGGGATAGAGGCGATGGTGTTCCTCGATCTCAGACTCAGAGGAGGTGGCTTCGTCAGGATCTGGCTTATTGGGCGAGGATGGTGCGGTCTTTGATGATGTGGCAGCGCCTTTGTCCCTGTCCAGTGCGTGCTGTCGCTTTTCGAAGGTGATGAAGTCCACCATGCATCGGTATGTTTCCAATCTGTCAAGCCCCGTGTAACGAAAGATACCATCCCTACTGTACGTGTTGTCTTTGACAAGCCAATACAAGAGCCACGCGTGCCAATCCAAGTCGGTATAGTATTGACGGTCGGTGGAGGAGGAGAAGGTCATCGCGCCACCCTTCTCGCCGTCGATGATTTCAAAGTACACACGCTTGAACTCTGCATGTTTTTTGTCGGGTTTGAAGTAAGGCGAGTCCAAGAAGCTTTTCCTGAATCTTTCCCAGTGGGGCTTCACTAGATCACCCGCGCGCCAGTCGTCGAACGATTGCTCGCACCCAAAACCCAGGTGTTCCATCATCAGTGCCTTGCTCTTGTACGGTTTGGGCTTGCGTTTCTTGGTGTCCGTGGAGGCCATATCGTACGACGGTTTGCTGTGGCTACGTGTGGGAAAGGTGTCGTCGAAGAGTTTTCTCCGCTCGATGTGCGCAACACTCTGATGTGGCTACCTGTGGAAAGAGCGTGGAAGAGTAGTTTCCGCCCTATGTGCGAAAATTTGCTGTGGCTGCTTGCAGTGAAGGCGGTCTGTGCCTTGCAAACGCAGTGTTTGCAGGATGATAGAGCGTGACAAATCGGCGGTGACCGTCCGGGCGAAGTCACCTCACACCCTGGAGTCTATATCAGTGTAGGAGCATGCTGTTGAGGTGATCTAACGTCAATGTAGACTTGTAGGTAATTTGTTGTCACGACAGCATTATTGTTTCTTGCAGACTACGATAGTACAAAAAAAGAGAACAGGCAAGAACTAACAGCGATGTAGACTTCCGGGTGGTTTGATTCCATAATGCTCTTGTTGCTTCTTGCGGCCTACATCGGTACATGGCACGATGTCTGGGAAAGACCAACAGTAATGTAGACCTCTGGATGATTCGCCGCAACCCGATAAACAGTATGTGTAGGGTATATAGCAGTCTTACACTACTCACATAGAGTACGGGAATACGCGAGCTCTGTCGCTACATGGCGATAAGCATAAGCACTGGCGTAGCAGGCTCATTCGAGTATGGGAAATGAAGTGTTAGGGCCGATATAGTTGCGGCCGTAGCTCTTGCTAAAGGAGCTATCCTTACTGTCCTGTAGTGTCTTCTACGCCGCAATTAGCTTATTAGCTTTCTTATCTTAGCCTAGCTAGAGCCTAACTCTAGCGCCTTAAGAATAAGCTAAAGATTATACTAAATCTACTAGACTCTGTAGTAATTATTAGCAAAGTTAGTACTTATTGCGTTAGGCAGATAGTTTAAGTACAGAACTAGATTAAACTCTAGAGTAGTAGCTTATAGCTATTAAACGATCGCTCTTGCATCGCAGAACTGTCTATCAGCATCGACAGAAAGTAGAGTTGGCCAAGTCCTGGATTGGTTGGTAGGTAGCTTCGATGTCGTCGGTGATTGCTTGCCCTCCAAGTAGAGAGAACACTGAACACCCAGGAGCCTACATTGACGTTAGATCAACTAACTTGCCTGCTTTTATCATAATGTAGGCTGCAGAACTGCTCAATTTCTTCCTTATATGAGGTGGATGCGCGAAAACGCAAGCGCAATTCGTCCACAGCTTGCCCTTGGCCGAGTGGTCAAAGGCGCTGCGTTTAGGTCGTTCTAAACATCCTCCGCAGTCTTTGAGGTAGTACGAAATAGGAAATCTAAGAGAACTAACGGCAGTGTAGACTTTTCGGTGGTTTCCCATGCTGCAGCTAGATAGCACTCTTTTTATAGTAAAAGACAAATGAGCCACAAACGCCATCTATACCATAACCCACACGCACTTACTGCGCCTTAACAAACCTAACCATCATCGGCGGCGCACCCGCAGTGAAGTGATCCAGAATACCCTCCCAGTAAGCATTCACATCCGTCCCCTCATCAAGCACGACATCAAACTCCGCCACGACCCTCCCAATCACACTCCTCAACTCCATCAACGACAGAGCTTTACCAGCACAGCTATGTGACCCCGTAGAGAAGGGAATGAACGCCTGCCTGTTCAGTACCAACTCCGGCTTAGTAGTCCAGCGCTCAGGTATGAACTGATCAGGTGCAACAAAGTTCCTCGCATCGCGCAATAGCGGAAAGATAGGGATATGTACTATCATGTTTCCTGGGATCAAGTGCCCATTTATCTCCATACCTTGTGGCGGCGTGATACGTTGGGAGCCGAAGAAGACGGAGGGCCACATGCGCATCGATTCTTGGATACAAGCTTCTAGCATTGGCATGGGTCGCTGGCAGTCGTAGGTATTGATGTTGGAGAGGAACTCGGAGCGGACAGCAGCCATGTAGTGTGGGTGTGTGGCTAGATGCATGAAGAGGAAGGTTAGGGCCGTGGACGTGGTCTCGCTGCCAGCGGAGATTATGAGGCGTGATTCGCCGTAGAGAAGTTCGCGACCTTCAGGTGTTTTGGGCGTGGAGGTGATGAGATGAGAGATTAGGTCCGGCTTCGCATCTCTGACCTAAAGGAGGTTGTTAGCAATGGCTTTGGTCGAGCTTAAAGACGGGATGATGTACCTGCATGCGCGCTTTCATCTGGCTGACGCTCCAGTCTCGCCATTCCTTCATGGGTCCGGCGAATGAGGTAAGAACACCAACTGTGTTCATTAGCCACGGCATCAGATACATGTATCCCAAAGCCTGGACGCTGCCCATCATAGTAGCGAGAATACTCGCAGCGACGTCGCTTTGTTCGCCTTTGATGAAGCCCATGGGCTTGCCGAAGGCCAGCGCTGCCATGACGTCGTAGCTATAGTAGCTTGCATACACAAGCAGCGGAATCGACCTTCCCTCTTCATTGCGCAATCTTGTAAGCAGCTGGTCCGTGAAGTTCTCGACTTGGGGCGCGTAGTCGGAAAGCGATGCCTTCATCGCATTGTCCCAGATCTTGCGGCGCTGGCGGTGGAACACCTTGTCGCGATTGAGGTGCAACGACTTTTCCATGACGTCGTAGAACGGTCCTTTTGACGTCTGTGACTGGGCTCCGAGAATTGGTTGGATCGCAGCTGTATCGAAAATCGTGAGCTCACGTGGCCCTGACGGTGTTAGCACTGAATGTGGAAGGAAGTACACGGGGTTGGACAGACCCGTCCTAACATAATCGCCGTATTGGCCTTGCAGCCGCTGAAGGACTCGATGGTAATGCAGGCTGCTGTCATGTGTCTGCTTGACGGCCCACCATCTCGATAGTTTCGCAGCCCAAGGTCCCGGGTAGTCGTTGAGTGGGTGAAAGAAGGCACGGTACGCTCCGATGTACAGCCATAGTGGAACCCAGAAGGAGCTCGTCACCAGTGTAGCGGCGATGAATCCAGTGTAATATGATAGAACCCAGTATGCGGTAATCGCTAGGCCAAGGATCTGAAGGGTCAAATGGTCGACTTCCACTCGTCGCAAAATGAACTCGTGCAGGATGACCGCCGATAAAGGTGCGAGCACAAAAACAGCGGTAGGAACCGAGCCCATGGTTTCTTGTGGATGGCTCCGGAATCTTGCTTGGGTTGCTAATGTTCAGTGAAATAGAGTGCTAGGCCGTGGTGGCCGATGGCTATTTCTCGATTGCTATCAGGTGAAGGCGATCGCCACATACCACGAACCCCTGAATAAGGGAGCCCTGGGAGTCAGTATCGTACCGCTGTGATTCCAGTGTGTTGTTTTTATCGGGAGTACAAAACGTGGAAGGTTTGCATGTGCGACGCGTTTGCTCGGAAGCCCAGAGTCACACGTGGAGACTGGTACGAGAACGCGATCGGCAGCCCCGGTTTATGAAGTGGGACATGGCCAGGTCTCTGTCCATCCTTCTTACCGTAGATTGCGACTGCAGCTGGTGCTCCGCAACAGGAATCTTGCCGCATGGTAATTAGTGTGCAAGGGTCAGCATTGGATTACTAGGTTTTGTCGCACACTATCGCACATAGCCGATTAGCGTCTCGGTGCGAACTCACGTCTAGTTAGTCTTCCAACGTGTCGATATCGTGGAGTTCTCTAGCGGACCAAAGCCGTTTAGTCGCCTGCGAAAGGAAGAATGTGGTGTAGCCTCAATTCTCCGAGCGCCGCATTATTGGATGCGGTTGCGCCGTAACGCGACGTGTGTGACTTTGGTGCGTAGATCAGACTTGGTGCTGCTGAGTGGCGCTTATCCTGTTCAAAGACGGCCTGGAAAAATGTAAGCATGTACATAAGTGTCTGCTAGGCGAGGTGGCGGCAGGGCTACATTCGCTTAGAGCGCATAGGCTGAATGGGAGAACAGGACATGGTTCCTCATTCCATGATTTCATGAATATCTTATCTGGTATTCGATTCGAGCCTCCAACCGAGCAATTTCGGGAGATGCGCATATCCATGAGCGTTGCCGAGAATGCGCCAGCATCTTACGGTTTCACTGTTGAACGGCAAGGTTGTACGGAAAGGATCTTGCGTGTACCCCCGTCTTAAGATCGCTGGCACCTGGCAAGGTAACTCAGGCTGCGTGTAAGATAAGTTCGATGCATGTCCGGGAGAAAACCCAAGGTCCTAGCGATCACGCCTTCCCTTCAAAGTTCCGACTCCTTCTGCGAATCCAAGAAATTTTCCGGCTGTGATGACCGCGATTACGACCATGTCGGGCGTTCTGGATGCGCCACCTGGCGTTGAGGCAGACTTCAGTGGTGAACGGTCGGATCTTCAGAAGAGAATCGTCGTGGTATATGCAGTCATGACGATTCTTTCCACCTTCGTGCTCGGGTTGCGATTGTATACGCGCATATTCATCCGCCGTATGACCGGCTTGGACGATGCGCTGGTGGTACTCAGCTGGTGCGGCTGCGTCGCATGGATGGTCATCTGTTTCCGAAGTGAGTCTGCCCCTCTGCTTACTCTGAGTACGCAACTGACCTCGAATGTAGCGTTCCAGTATGGCTTCGGTCAACATATGTGGAATGTGACTGTGCAACAAATGTTGGGCTATACGAAGATGCTCGTCGGTATCATGGTGGTGTATGTCTGGACTCCAGCTCTAGCTAAACTCTCGTTATTAGCTCTCTACTACCGACTCAACCCAGATCAGAAAGTCCAAGCAGCCATCTACGCATTGGCAGTCCTGGTCACTGGATACTCCGTGGCCATCACCATAGTCGCCGCCGGACCCTGCAATCCGCGAACCCATACGGACCAGAAGTGCCTTACAGATCTCAACCTGTTCATGGCCTGTATAAACATAATCACAGACTTCTTGATCCTGTGCCTGCCGATACCGATGTTGCGCGCCCTGCAACTACCTGTTAAACAAAAGATATTACTGGGCTTTGTGTTCGCTCTGGGATCTGGGTAAGCTGCCTCGGGTAATGCGCCATCTGGCGTTCTGTGCTAACAGTCTTTGTAGTGTCGTCGTTATATCCACCGTCCGCATCATCTACGTCTACAGTATGATTAGCGATCCCGACGCAACTTACAACGTGGCCAAGGCATGCATCTTCTCCACGGTCGAGCTCAACGGCGGAGTCATTTGCGCATGCGTTGCGCTACTGAAGCCTTTCATACAGAAGTACATGCCCTGGATACTGGCCCTTTCGAGTGGAAGCGGAAGCGGAGATGGATCCAGGATTCGCAAGTTGAAGATGTTCGTGAAACGGAGCGGGGAGAAGAGTTATGAACTACAAAGTGCAGACGCAGATACAGATGCGACTAAACAGGCTGATGATAGGCCGGATCATCGTATTGCCGTCACCAAGTCATAC